TGTAATGAATAAAAATTGGGAATTGTCAAAATGTTTGTTTGTTTGTTTTTTCCCTTTCTATCGAAAATAAATGCATGTAATTAATGATGACCTGATCTTCGGTATGCATTAGCTCTGTCTATTGAAGATTAGTAAAGATAGATGGATGGATAGTAGAAGTAGTAGTAGTAGTGCGGGTAGTCGACGTCATCATCGTAGTCGTCGTAGTAGTAGTAGTAGTGTAGTGAAAAAGGACACAAGTGGGGACAATCGAATGTATTTGAATACGAAATTACAGATCACTTCGATAAAATCTGAGAACTATATAGTAAATAGTTAATTTGCAAAATATCAATCCATCGTCTCAGATTTTACTGTTCATTCATTTTCATACTAATTGCGTTCGGTTTCCGTTCTTTCCTCATTGACCTACTGAAATACATTCGATGCCTGACCACCGTTATATGATACTTCTATGGGTATAAGTAGTAGTAGTGAGTGAAGTAATAATAATAATAACAGTAGTAGAGTATTAAGTTTATATTTATGTACTAGGTATTAAGGCTTTCATCAAGTTCTAAGTTCTAAGCTTCTACAGTTGACTTTTAATTTGTAGTTTAGAAAGTTGTTTACCTAGGTTAGGGTTTCTTATAAACCTATATAACTAACTTTATTAGTTTTTCATTGATATGGCTAGAATTAACTAATTGGACAGTAATGAATAAAAATGAGTAAACGAATTTCTTTAATTTACTATTGCATCTAGCTGGCCTTGATTATCTTCTCGATTTATGGAATATTTAAAATAATATAGAAGAATAGCATATATTATGAAAGAGGAGATAAGAAAAAAGAGGAAGAAATTTTAAGTAAAGTTTGTGTGCTGTATTAAAATATGAAATCCTTTAATACATTGATTTCGAAATCTAGACGAGAAGATTGTCAACAGACACTGTTTGTCTGTCATATTTTTCATATCTATCCACGATGAGTGTTTTTTCTCGGGACAAATGATTGTTCAGTGATGAGAACATAACAATTTTTTTATGTACTGAGTATGATTTAACAAATATTAGATCAGATAAAAATAATGTTTCTATGCTCGTATTTTTCTTTTCCACATAAGAATGAGGGTTTGTAGAGGTTGTAATAATTTAATAATTAAATTCATGAGTTGATTAAAGCTAGACCATCGTAAAAAATCTGGAAGTACTGGACGACCGTTTTGTTCCAATAAAGGATTCTTCAGAAATATTCATCCACGATCTCAGTGACCAGTGGAGTTCAACCGGGTCTGTTGTGAGGCAGATAGTCACTGAAGTTACTCAGTGGACAGTGGCGCAATATTGTGGACTGGTTGAAGTTAGACATTAACACAGATGGACACTGGCTCAATGGTCCAGAGTTTAAGAGTACACGCGCGGCACAGAGGGTCCTGGGTTCGAGACTCACGTACGGGACCGTTGATGCGCACTTCTGATGAGTTTCGTACTAGGACGAAACAGTCTTCTAGTGCTTCCAGGTTTCCAATAGTGGTCTAGGTATAATCAGCTCATGAATTGAATGATTAAATTCTACATCTTCAATTTTTAATTATTCTATCATAGAAATCCTTTAAAGTTTAAAGCTCTCGTGATCATTGTATAATAAGTAGATCTTAATGAGAATGTCGAAACTTCGACATCCATCCAAAAATATCTAACTAGTGAACTCATACAAGAAAGATGACTTCTGATTTCTTGAAATTCCAATAGCATATTAAAATAAATAACTTTTCTAATATGTGTCGTTACCAAGGTTTGACTTGATCATTTTGAATAAATTGAGCTTTGGGTAGACTGACATAGATAAATAATATGTTTGTAATATCCCAATGAGTAGAAAAAAATTAGATTCTTGTTGTTTCGTTATACGATCTGAACTTGTATTTATTTTGATTTGGTTCATTGTTCTCTGAAGAAGTGGCTTACACTAAATCACGAAACATCAGAAAATTAAATTTTTCTACTCATTAGAATATTACAAATATATTATTTATTTATGTTTTCTAATATGTATAGACATTATTCATTAACCTTATATCCATTAATCAGTCTACTAACTACAATGTTACATTAAATTTCTCTTGCAAAATATCAAAATTCAAACAACACGATTTGTTTATTAAGTAACATAATAAATGAACATCTATCATAGAGACTAGACTCAACTCAGTTCTTCATTTTCATTAATTTCATATGAGCTGATGAAATAAGCAAAAAAATATTGACTTGAATAATGATACAATATTAATTATTGAAGGTTCTCCATATGAATATGGACAAATACAAACTCAGATAGTAAAAAAAGGTTTATTCTTTATTTCTAATGACATGATAATCATGTTATATGTAGTTATTAGCCAAATCTTGTTGATATGCCGTTTGAGTACTGATCTATCAAATGAATTTGATCAGTTGTTTATTTATTTCATGATTTCAACTTGTGAAATTTCTAAAAATCTCCACAAAACCCATTCTGATAATAATAACCACCTGCTCACTAGTGACTGACTTCAGGAGACACTCCTGGAGTTCTAGTGAGAAGCAGTTACCAGTGGAGTTCAACCAGGTCTGTTGTGAGATAGGAACTCAATGAAGACAGTGGTGTACGGTGGCGCAATTTCGTGGATTGGTTGAAGTTAGACATTGACACCGTCGGATGCCGGCTCAGTGGTCTAATGGTTAAGTGCTCACGCGCGAAACCAGTAGGTCCTGGGTTCGGATCCCGCGAGGTGCGGGGTCGTGGATACGCACTGCTGAGGAGTCCCATACCAGGACGAAACGGCCATCCAGTGCTTTCAGGTCTTTCAGAGTGGTCTAGCTTCAATTGACTCATGATTTCAACTTGTGAAAGTTTACTTATTTATCGGTTTGTTTGTTTTTGTCCTTCCAGCCATTTATATTTCATGTTTGATTAATTTTGTCTATCATATTAGAACATGAGAAAATTTAAAAAAAATATACATGGTTGAATATATAAATAAATACAATTTTTTGTCGTTTTTCAAATCAACCACATTCTCAGTTAACAACAAAGTACTCTAGATCACAGATCACAAATCACACACAAACACACACATACATACATACATACATACAGACAGATAGATAGATACAGACAAATTTTAAATCATTTTCCGTAGTTTCATTGATAATTATTACGTGACATAAAGTTTTTTAAACTAAGAATGATGATAGTAGTATCAGTAAGTTAATTATTGTTTAATGAAAACCCCAGATATATGGACATAGAGACAATACTTTTGGGTATACATTAATTTAAATTAGTATACATAGTATAGACATGCCTAAATAAATAAATAAACAAATAAATAAATAATGATATAAACTTATTCGAATCCCACCCCCTCCTCTTGCTCTCTTTCTCCCTTTCTATATATTTATATACTGTCATTTATTATCATTTTTAATTAATGAAACACTCAGATACTGTGTTTTATTACAACAGAAAGAAAACGCACGCATACACACACACACACAATAAATTTAAATAAATCCTTGGAGTTTATCAAAATTCAGATTGTATTAGGACAAACTTTCATAAATTAATCCTAATTGTTGATATCAACTATTATTTTTAAAATTCCGCCGTAAATTCATAAAATCTTTACAATCATGTAAAGATTTTAGCCATACTTTTATTACCAAAAGGGGTTTTATGGATATTATAGCAAATTTAATAGTTGAAATCATGAATGAATTGAAGTATTGGACAGTCAACTCCTGAACAGTGCGCATCCACTATCCCACCTTGCGAGATTCAAACACAGGAACATTCAGTCTCGTACTCGAACGCTTAACCACTAGACCATTGAACTGGCCGGCATCCAACGATGTTAATGTCTAACTTCAACTAATCCATGAAATTAAGCGACACATCTACCATTGTCTTCAATGAGTTACTATCTCACAACAGACCCGATTGAACTTCACTGATCACTGCTTCTTACTAGAACTTGAGGAAATACCTCTTGAAGCCAGTCACTAATAAGCATATGTTAATTGATATAAGAAGGTGTTTTGTTACCTTATCATCAATTGAATAAACTATTTCGTTTTATTTCTAAGTAGGGTTTAACAATGAAATCCAGGATATATGCTTTTTTGTCATGTGTGTCATTTATGAGATGTACGTAATTGTATTTCAGTGTTATTGTTGAACCCTAAACTAAAGCTCAGTGTTAGCTACTAAGATCACATTGCAACTGATCACTGAATTCGAATTCATTTTTTATTGGACTAGTCAGTGTTCATTTTGACTAAGTAGCTAAAAGATTTATGGATTGGGATTTACAGCGATAGCCACTGAGTTTGAGTCACGGAATGAATATCAACAATGTAATCTAGGTACACTCAGCTAAAAAGTCGAAGTATGACACCGGATTCATAGAGGCAGTTAATTCGATGGTGGTAATATATAAAAGGAAGAAAGAATTAGTTCGTTGAAGGTAAAGTATAGTGTAATTTCCATCTCACAGTTTAAGGGAATACAGAGAGTGTATATACCGACACCATTGTGATAGATTCTGAACCATGTCACACAGAGTCTTCAACCATTGATTACGATAGTCATGCGAAACCCAACCAAGTAGTCTGCATCTACCAATATGGTTTAGACTAGAAGTTAGTGACTTCAATGGCTGATGCCACATTTTGGTTCCCCCCCATAACTTTCTTCTAACCATCCTCAGCACTAGTCAGCATTACACGTCGTGATAATCGGTGTTCAGGTATATGTAACACGTGACTCAACCATGTCAGTCGATAAAGATTCACCACTTCACCGACTGATTTACCACCCTACATCTACCCTACGTTTATTACTTACTCAATGATCCCCACAATTGCGAGTAGTATTTCTAAGGCTGATTACTTACAACTTATGTATATCTTCTAATTTCATAGATGTAATAGACATACAGACATTAAAAAAACAACCCCACTCACAATCAAACTTACCCATGAACACCATGCTAATTGTTTACATATACGAAATATACAAGTAAATTTTAATTCATGTATTCTATATCCAATTTCATTTAATTTTTCTTTATATATGTCATCCAATAAATTCATTGGTTTATTTATTAATTTCATTGATTTATTATTAATCATTGTAACATTTTTATTGATTTTACTTGTATTGATTTTTTCGATATTTGGTTTTATCATTTTGATTGTTTTATTGATTGATTGTGTTATATCTAAATCAATTATTGATTGTTTATTTAAATAAAGATGAAATAAACCAGTTTGTAATTGATATAAATTATTATTATTATTATCCGGTTGAAATATTAATACTTTTTCATTGTCATATTGATTCGTTTGAAAATTAAATCCAATTATTGATTGATTGTTTAAATTTGATTTGAACATTGGACAACTTGAATGAATGATGATAGGAAACATTTAAACAAAACAAAAAGGAATGAAAAATAAATAAATAAATGATGCTAAGAGACATTATTATGTAATAGTTGTTATATGAGGCATGACCTAAAGAGGAAGATCAAAGAACATATTATGTCGGATAATGAAAGCATATATGAAAAGGATGAATAAGAACTGGAAAGAGTTGGAAAGGATTGACCAGAACAGGGTTGGGTGGAGAGTGGTGGTAGGTGGCCGATGTTCGTCCACGAGGAGTAACAGGCGTAAGTAAGCGAGTAAGTTGTTATATGCTAGCGAACATTAAATTACGAGTATGTATTTGGTCATCAGTTTTTTTTGTTAATGTTTAGTTTGTTATATTTCTCTTCCATTACCGAATTCTTAAACCACCCATTCACTTATACATCTCAATTCATTTAATTCTCTTTAATTATGTGAACTCTTCAAATTCTACGCAGTTATTACGTAACTCATCTTATCAGTTTTTAATTCCATGAATCTTATGTAAACCCTTCATTACCTCTAAAATTATCACACAATTTATATTATGTGTCTCTGAACTCCATTCTATTATTGATAACCTTTATCATTCCAATTCTTTACATTCACTTATGTCAATTGTTTCATACTATTTCTTACCTCTATTTAAAATTCTAACACATATTTGGTTGGAAACAGCGGATGAGAAACCACAATATATAATGAATTCATATTATTCTGCATCAATATTTGTTCTGGCTCTATTTAAATTCATAAAGGGAACTAATTGTATGCAACTTCTGAGAACTATTAGTGGACTAATTATATATATATATATATATATATATATATATATATATATATATATATATATATATATTATATATCACCTTATGATAAGCTTTATTTTGACCTATAGATTATTATTATTATTATTACAATTTACTGTTCTTAAATTATGTTCAGTTTATTGATTACAGTCTCCCACGTCCACAACCATATTATGGCTCGATCTTGTATAAATGTTATTTCCTAATTTATGATGTAATGTGATCTATTTGGCTGGTATATAAACTAAGTATGTTGGAAATAAATGATTCGCATAGTGGAAGCTGTTATCAGTGTTCTGAACCCAACGGGTAGGGCTAGGTGAACAAAGGACCAATAAGGACGCTATGCTGTTTATACTGGTCGAACGATATTGGTTTAGCACAGTACTAAGTTTGAATAAGTCGTATTTCGATTGGCGAATAAATCAAGTGATAACTAGCTGGCCTTAAAGTCACAACAACAGTAAAAAAAAAACAAAAAAACAAAGAAAAAAAACTCGTAGGCAGTTCAACAGATCAAATCAATTCATGTATTTGGATTTGCGTTAGTTTCACTCAGTGATGACATAGTAGACTAATTCTGAACATATGAAATCCTCTTTTAAATAGTCGACAAATTATATGATAAGGAAATTTATAAGGTGTATTATAGTTAATTTTAATAGTGGAATTCCAGTCAGAAAACCAAGAGATGCTATCTAGATCTCTATTGGCTTATAAAGTGTAAGCTCAATATTAAAATTCATTAATAGTTCAGGGAACAAATAAGGGAAAATAACCTGGAAGATTGATTTAGTTATGAATAGAAATTGTTTAACGAAGCTCTGAGAACAGAGATATGGTATACTTTCGTCAAACTTTGTTGATACGACTTATAGAAGTATAATGGAGCCTCCAGATGCTCTAAAGAAGCCGAAGAAATTTCATTCCTGGCAGAGCCTTCTAGAATATCAACGTGTCGTGCTACGTTTGGGCAATAGTATAACTTGCCTCCTTGCTGATTGGCTGAATCATAATGATGTTACAGCCAATGCTAATAACTATGAATAACAATTTTTTTCTGTACGTTTCTAATTCTTACCCAATAATCACTTCCATTGCTTCTTCCATCTTCTGATTTGTGAGTGTGGGGTTCTACACGTTCGAGTACCGTTAGTTGTATATAATATTCTGCCGTAATCATGTAAAGGATGTAGCATACTTTTCATTATTGCGAATAGACTTCTGACTTCAAGAGTAAAACTGCTTCCTGTTAACGGTGTCATTCACACATCATTGTCAAAGGTTCAAAGATCTTAGATTTGTTCAGTGAACTTGTGACTAGTACACAACTGTCAGTTATTCGAAAAGCATGCCTGTGTAGTAAAATTTCATTAATCTTTATGTGATCAGAATGAATTAAGCTTGATAGCCAGATCCCAAAAAACTAAAACCAATATACAATAACTCAATACATTACAGGCTTAAACAAATAACAATGAAACCATGCCTGGCCTGATTCATGATTATTTGTTCTTGAAAGTGTTGTTAAATCTATTTGTCCTTTTATCCAAGTTAGTTGTCCTGTTTAGTCAATCTCTAACTATGTGAAAAATTGAGATTTTACGTATGATTCGGTAGATCCGATTTATCGTGACATGTATATTGAATGCCAATCGGTTTGAATGCCATGCAATAAGAAAATTGTATCTTATTTATGTTTATTGCTTAGCTTTTACCAGTAATATTTTCCTAGAAAAGAATACTAACAATTTACTAACCGTTCACTCTGTCATATCAATTTATTCATGCAATCGAATTCTGTCGTATTCTATCATTAATTTAGTGTGAATAAATATACATCAATTGTCCATAAACCAATTCGTCTAAGAACATCAATTACACATTCACAACCTAAACAACACTGATTATCCTTTTGTAGTATATAAGAATATACATATCTAATCAGTTCACGAGTTTTACAAATAATACACCTAACACCTATCCGGATATCATTTTATGAAAACTTTTCATTTGACTCCATTTTGATATATAAATATATATACTATTGCTGTGAAACACTTAGAGATTGTCAACTAGTAATGTCACATTTATATCTCTACATATCTCTTTGTCTTTTTATATACGGACATATATATATGCCGATTTACATACCCTTTGTATAATAAAAGAGTTTCTTTTGAATCTTCATTTCTTTGACCAGATTTTATCCTGTCTATCATATAACATTCTTCAACAGTAATAGCTTTGTAAACATCTATAAAATTAAATGGTGGATATAAAATAAATATTCAGTTCTAATTATTAGACAAAATAAACAATTGAAGTTAACCAATATATTAATAAATAAGGTTAATAGATTCATAAAGATGATCCTTTGTAATATAATATACAATAATATCCAATACAGTAAAATAAAAGAACATTTTTAGGGTTCAGTATTGTTTAGATAGGAAGGAGTAGTTCTAACAACAACAATGACAACACCAAAATGGTCATTTAGTTGTATGATTTATTCCGTATTATATAACTTTTATAAAGTTTGATAAGGTTCTTAACAAATAGGGATTTTTATCAGAAGGGTTTTATGGATATTATAGTAATTTCAATGGTTGAAATCATGAGTCAATTGAAGCTAGACCATCATGGAAAACCTAGAAACACTAGACTGCTGAGGAGTCCTACAATAAAACGAAACGTCCATCTAGTGCTTCCAGGTTTTTCACAGTGGTCTAGCTTCAGTTAACTCATGATCTTAACTATTGAAATAGGGATTTCGTTTGTTTGTTTTTTTCAGCCAGACATTTTCATACACAACTTCTTAATTAATCAAGTATTATTCAAAAACTAGTGACCAGTTGTCCAGAACATGATTATCCGGATTCATCAATCATACTGTCTAGTTTATAATTAGTAAATTCAATAGTTTCCATAACAAAAACAAATAGTTTAGTTATACTTTAGTGTTAAAAAAATTTTACAAATATCATTGAAACTACAGACAAACCATTGGAATGAATGGTGTTCGGTCAACTTCTTTCAACTACAGAACTATTCTAAACTGTTGATGATTAATGAACGACTGTTAAAAATAATAACATTCAATTATATCAAGTCATCAAATTTTAAAATGGATCTAAGATGATCAGAAACAAACATTTCTTTCATTAAAACACCTTCATTTTAAGACATTTATTCATTTAAAAAGTTCTTATGATTACTCTCCAAGATCATGAGAACTGATCCTTTTCATGCAATAGACTTCTTACATAAATTTAAATTGAGCGAAAACAATTACTTTTACATAAGTCTAAATAGTGGATAGGACTGAAATTCCAAAACCTCATTTCATACTCAAATTCAGTACGTTTCACTTTAAATATCTAAAGGGTTATTTATTGAGGTACTTAATTCGAACAATCGCTAAATTGTGCAACATGGATTAACTGTTTTACCAACTATCAATTTTACATTAAAATATTAACATTCTTATAAGATTAAAGAAATGAAGTGTTCATCAGAAAATAACTAATTTCATTACACTCATGAACCAATCAATGTTAGACCACCACTGAACACCTGAAAACACTGGACAACCATTTCGTTCTAGTATGAAACTTGATGTGTGGGCTAGCATGATAATGATTAGTTGTCTGCTTAGTCAGATATATAGATAGTCTGACATGTGTCAAATGAGTTATATATTCTCCTGTCTTTATTATTATTACTCACTCACCTAATATTGATTGTTCATTGTTGTTGGATTGTGTCGGGTTTTGGTGTGGAAATATATTTACGTTCTAGTCAGGCTAATCACACGTTCTCGATCTGAGTTTTGTTGAAGTCCTGTAGAATAAACACTTGGAGGGAATCTAGTGTAGATATTCATCTAAGGTAAATTAACATCCCATGCATTCAAACGTGGAAACCCAACCGTTTTAGCATTAGACTAAGTGAAACCGAACATTATAACAAAGCTATTTTGCAGTCTCCATCCACGAGCCTGCACGCGGAAATTGACCTTAGGACTTTCGATACCGTGCACTAACGCTTTAGCTCTTGACCAATGAGCCGGCATTCAGTGAGGCATTTGTCTAATTCCAATCGATCTATAATGTTACGCGATGATCTTCCATTGTTTTTCGATGACAGTGGATTTTGTAATCATGACTGACAAAAAACCATCGTAATTGGAATAATACTTTTAGAATACTGGAAATAAGCTGATAACAGTTCATTAAGAAAAACATGAAGTTAATTAGTGGGAATTAGTTCAACGGGATTTCATTGAAGGACTTGAAGATCAATTGCATTTCATTTCTGTTATTAAGGTAGATGACAGTTAACCACCGACATAATTTTAGATAGAAAAGTTAGTTTTCAGCCTTCTAATACTGTTTGCGAATTATTTCAACTAGCTTCATTTTATCAATCTCTAGCCTCGTGTAGACAACTTTTAACTGTGGATGGTTCAATGACGATATGTCTTTGGATCGAATTCATTAATAATGTACAGTTAATATATGTATGATTTATTTAGGAAAGAAATTCTATTAAAATCACTTATTTACAGATTGATCCTGTATAAAATGTGCATGGATAATAAATGTGATCTCATCATATTCTAAAGACTTTCAACAATTATCATCTGGAAATTAACTCGTGAAGTAAGAGACAGATTATAAGTACGCTCTCTTGATAGTAAAATGATGAGAATACCTAATGAAACATTAAAAAAGTTCAGTCTATAGACAATATTCATTAAGTGGCTTGCTAGCAAACTCCAACAGTTAGTTTTGTAATCCCAGTTCGTATAGAAAAGTACGATTCAAAATTTTGAAGTGTAAATCATTGAATGATTCCATCTAGAAAATTATTAGAAACTAGAAATGTCATTGGATAGATATTTCGTCTTAATATAGGATTCCCCCAATGATGTATATAAATGTTATGACTCGGTAAGCATTATGAATGTTAATTTTCGGGATCCATCTATGGATCAATACTATGAGTAGATTTTTATCGTATGACTGTTAACTAACTAAACTGTTCATATTCATGTCCCTCTTATTATAAGCCTTATTGTGACCTATGAATCATTATTATACGACTTACCATTATCGAATTATGCCCTGTCTATTAATTACTACCTCCCACATTCACAGACGCATTTGACTAGATCTTGTACAAATGTTGTTTCCTATTTTATTGGTACGATGTGGTCTGTTTGGTTGGTATATAAATCGAGTATGTTTGAAATAAATGATTCATATCACAGAGGCTGAAGTTGTTGTTCCGGACTTAACTGGCTGGGCTAGGCAGGAAGTAGGACCGATTGGGGCTCTAGACTGTTCTCACGGATTTTATGCGTCGTTGGTCCGGTCGATAATTCACTGCTCTTTAATTGGCGGTATCATTGCGTATACATTAACAGGACACATATGTCACAAGTCAAACAATAAACCAACTGCCAGAGATAAAATCAAAACATTCAGATCTCGTATCTGGTGTTTAACCATCAAACTACTGAGTAACCCCAATGTGGTTTAAATGTCTAACTTCAATCAATTGAATTAATATAAACTATCCTCACCAACTCTTGTACTAATTACCAAGAAATTGTCAGATAATGTTTTCAATCTATTGCTAACTAGTTACTAATTGATTACTAACTATGAAAGCTTCATTTGACTATTTCATGAATCATATTCTCTTCACTGATGTAAACGTATTCGAACAGTTATATTTCCTTAATAATATCTTGTAATATTTATATAAAGATAAGTTTCTTTCAACAATTTTCTTCCTTACATTTGAATACTTAAAAAGTTAGCGGTATTATTGAGAAGAAATCTCCAGGAAAAAAAGACATTCACAATCTCTATGACCATTATTATTATTATTATTATTATCAGTCAGTAATCTGTTGTATTTTTGATATTTGTTTGGTCGCCTGGATGACATGTATACGATAACATGGAAAAAATAAAGCAAACTGAACTTCAAGGTATACACTAAAAGTTACATATTAAAGAAAAATATATGTATAGACCAACTTATATGAAATAGCTTAGAAAGTAAGGCAAACGCAATTCGCATGATCGATTTGGACGATATTGTTACAGTGGAATGAGTTTTAAAATGATAAGATTTGTATTTTGAGAATAAGCCTTTAGTGGAACCCTTTATTTTGACATCAATTAGATTGTACGATGTTGTCGACGGGTCCTCCACTTTAGTGGCCCGGGATCTGACTCCAAGTAGATCGTATGTATGATTGTTATTGAATTATTGCTGTCGAAATATATACATTGCCTATCCTCGTATATAATCATCGACTTAAATCGCGTTAGTCAATAATAGAATTAAATAAGTCAAATAACGAGAATGGACTTTTGAATACATTGAATATATTTTGTATATGAACCGAATGGAATAGAGAGAATCGAAACGACGCACAGTGGAGATGGCGGGTAAGCCAACTCCGTTTAGTCAAGAGTTAATCGATATTTATAGTCACATAAAAATAAGTTACAGACATATGATGAATAAGATAAAAAATGTACACACATATATGCGCTCATATAAAAACAGTCAAGATTGATAAACGAATGATCAACAAGGTCAAAATATGACTCAAGTAGAATGAATAGATCATGTTGTTTAGTAACTGAAGCTGGAAAGACAAATATTTAAGTTTCAAACTTGTTCCTCAAGAGTACCTTCCTCTCTTTTGAGTTAGATCTCCAGTTGAATCACCCACTACTAACGAATTCTGTAATATATTGAAATAACTATTCATTACTCTCTGATATTCAATAATTGTGAGGTTGTTTGCAGTTGATGAAATCTAATTTTTTTTCAAACTTCATCTTTGTACTTTTTTATTGAAATATCAGAAGAACAATTTTATGAAGTTCAATTATATATTGGGATTGTGAGTAGAACTTGAAATCAGGATGTCTTTCGTTGTGGAATTATAGTGTAGTGAACGGAACACGGGTGGGGACAACCGAATGTATTTAGCACAAAATTACAGAGTTACTCGGTAAATAAAAACACCATGTAGTAAATCGTTAATCTGCAAAATATCAATTCATCATATCAAACCGGACTGTTCCTGTTGCAAACATCAATCCATTGTTTCACATTTCATTGTTCATGCGTTTTCCTACAAATTGCATTGTGTTCCTGCTCTTCCTTTCTTGATCTTCCCCATCTTCTGCTGCCAGACATTACGTTTTTCACTCGCGTCGTGTACTACTTATATCAATATAATTAGCACGCACCACAGTAGTACAGATTAAAAATAGTACAGGTCATTAAAAATAATTCTCAAATACTTTGAATATAACAACAGTATTGAAAACTAGCTGACTATTTTTAACTGAAGCATAAATTTCCTAGAAAACTCATATTGATCATAATGTACATCAAGGATAACTTTAAAATTGTTAGTACTTTATACATTATTCTCTATTCTGTTTCAGAACTGAGATGAAATCTGAATTGATCTGGTTTCTATTAATAATCATTTTATCCTACACGATACCTTCTGAACAACTAATCAAAGATATATTTTGTCAATTTATTCATTTGAAGAGATTTCAATGAAGCCAGATCTATGCGGGTTTTTTAATTCAATATCAATAAACAAACAAATCATAACATTCCCATTCTCAGTACTTGTAGAAGTAAATAATATTAAAGTCGACGGGCGATGTTGTCTAATGTTGGAATAGGCTACCAGAAAGCTAGGAATGCCCAAGCCAAGATATCATACCAGTTCATGATGCCAGTGATAATTAAATATCAACAGGTAGAATCTGCCTCGTTCGAGTTGTCGTAACTGATTGTTAGAAGCTTTGAGTGATATTACCCAAAATCATTCACGACGACTTAAGTCAAATAATTCTTAGCGCTGCTTAAGAACCCAAGTTTCTATCTCAACGTTTTTTTCTATTCCAGGAATCTGTGTTTTCTTCTCGAATCATATTTATCATTCCTAACTTTTTGTTTATTACTACTGACACTGTGATAACTTCAACTAAACGGGAATTTATCTTAATAATTTAATCTTATTGTGTTAATATAGCGTTACAAATTGAACTTGTGTGTAAGATGGTGGTTGTAGGTAGTTAACAGGAAACCCTGGACCCGGATTTCATGCTACTTGGCACTTGTCAGCAAGGTGTACCTGTAATCTTGAGGGAACTGATGCTCCCTAACGGATTTGATCCCATGTCATCCAGCTTCACAGTCAGAGACGTTACCACTAAACTATCTGGGCCGCGACCGACCTTCTGTAGGACTGAGATGTAATCACAGTTGATTGATCACCACCAGTGAATTTGTGTGTATTTTACTGAATGAATGACAGGGAATTTCAAGAATCTTCTTTCTATCTAAACAAATTTTATCGTAGTAAATATATTTATGAAATCATTTGACAGATTATATAGAATCTTTATCTCTACTTACAGTTTACACCTTGAATTAATATGAACTGGAAGAAAAATTATACTATCCATGGTGGATAACAAAACGAATGATCACTATATTATTTACAAACATCTTAAAACCTGATATAAATACGGATACATCAAAACTCTTAAAAGTACAAAAACAGAATCAAAGATAAAAGAGAGGAAGTGACAATAATGGAAAAACTAAGCACACACAAAAAAAGGGAAACGTAATTCACTTTGAAATAGTTTAGATTATCCTGTTGTGAATATATTTGTTTCAAATTTTATCACTTTTAGTTGACATATTTAAATCCTGTGTAGATTGTTTTGATATAATACAAATTGAATTTCGCTATCGGTAGAATCCAGAACATGTCATTCCTCCTATTTGAAACTTGTTAACTGGATATAACTACATCCCAAATGTGATATTCACTCCATGACTGGAGCTCAGTATTGTTCGCTTGAAATACCACCATATTATCCACTAAGTGACTTTTCAAGGGAACGGTACTGGGTTCGAGCTCCAAAGTCAACATCAACAATACAATATCAATATATACCATTTATTTTGCATGAAGAATGTAGTTTAATAATAGCGAATAATATCAATTTAGAAATAGGATCAAATCATATTAAAAGTTAAAATCTATGATGAAATGACAGCACCAATTGTTGATTAGAACAGTCACATTTTAAAAAACGACTTACATGAGTACGTTTTGTTTCTTAAAAGGAACATATTAACCATCGGAGATCTTTCTAACTAAATAAGTATTCTAAATATTTTACATTAAGATCCTTCTTGAAAACTTTGACTATCTATGCATAAGTAAATAGATCCATGATGATATAATAATGTAGTATAGTTATTGACATACAAATTCAACGATAAGATTATCTAACAATAGTTTATCACATATAATATCATATTTAGTTCATTTGTACTTACTTAGTTCATCAATCAATTCAGCTTCAAATCTGATTGGTGTTGACTCTAATATTGTTTGTACTGATTGTCCATTTTCATCTTTCACAGTAAATTTAACATCAAGTTTGGGCCATGGTGAATCATCAAGTAGATCTTGTCTATGAACTTTAATATTTCTGTTATCATTTTAAAACATAAAAATTAAAATGAATAAACAATGAAGTCAATCAAATGTAAATTAGTTAATTAGTAGTAGATTTAATAGTAATAGTCGAGAGATTAAGCATTCACGTACGAGACCGTACTTTTTTAGTTCGATTTCTTGCCGTCGGGTGGTTCGTACTCAATGATGAAGAGCTCTATACTCAAAAGAAACACCTATCTAGTGCTTCCGTGTTCTCAATGGTGGCCTAGATGATGTCCGTTCATGATACAAACTATGGTAATGGAGTTTTCCAAAAATCTCTAGTAGTAAAAGCAAATGAATTTCTGTCATAGTATAAATGTCAAGGAATGAATTATTAATTAATTATCAAATGAGTCCAAGATGTAGTTTACATATTTAATCAATTAAAATGTTAATGTTACATGCTTTCTAGTATGAATACTCAGGTAGTTGATGGACAGAAATGACTAACTTCTATTTCAGAAAAACAAAACATCATTGAATAAATCATTAAGTGACTAATGTTTGATTAAAAAGTATATAGCTAACGTAATGAAATACTGAAGTCAGTTCAAGATGAATACTATTTCCAAAGTTTATAAACGTCACAACATAGCTATTTAAATAGTATCCAGTTGTAATAGGATACACCTGTTTGAACTGATTAATTTGAACATATCCTATTAACATTTAGTCATGAAGGGTTTCATGTATATTGATTTAATTTGCAAGTTGTAAGGTCGATATCAACTGAAGTACCGTTGAAGATCAAAGAACAATAAAAGACTGTTTAATTCTAGTATAAGATTAACCAGAATTAAACAATTATGACTCATTTAGACGTTGGACCTAGGACTTTTAGATATCCTAGTGAATGCTAATTAAACTTTAATTACTTACCAACAACTTGTAATCACTAATTAAAATAAAAAAAAATGTGGCTAAATCAAAATGATACTGAAAAAAAATAAACACATGCATTAGATCTTTACTTTCTTACCGTTTTATCCATTCATACCAACTACCTTCGACTCAAATGACAAAATAATCTGATTGAACATAAATATTGTTTTGCTGTTTTCTAGTAAACAAACGACTTAAATTGATGTCGTAAACTCAAGAAGATTACAGATTTGTTTCTAGGTCATTTGTACTATGTGTATATGATGATTATTAATAATGTAGTTAAACCTAACAATGTTTTTATACCAACGAATATTTCATGAATCTAATCAGAGAATCGCTATCATGAAATGATGTAGAGAAAAATATCCTGAAGCCTCTACACGAAAATTGATTGGATCTAATATCAATTTAATAGTCCGAATCCAACGTACTTATTAGTTCTGAACTTTATCTCTTACTAAATAGTTATTGTTCGTTACAGAGAAATCGCGTTTCAGCTGTTTAGCCATATGGTGTGATGCGTACTACTTATTTTGGTGGAGTTTTGTTCTCTGAGCTGGATGGTTTGGTCGTGGAGCTTTCGTCGTTCTTCTGAACGACATCATCAGCACAAACTTCAGATAGAAGTGAAGTGTTCGAATTTCTCCATATGTGTTTCACAGCTTGTTCTGTGCACCTCGATGTTGATTGGTTCTCGTTGACCTTAAATTTATCATTGTTTACTTCTTTGTTTTAAGGTCAACGAGAACCAATCAACATCGAGGTGCACAGAACAAGCTGTGAAACACATATGGAGAAATTCGAACACTTCACTTCTATCTGAAGTTTGTGCTGATGATGTCGTTCAGAAGAACAACGAAAGCTCCACGACCAAACCATCCAGCTCAGAGAACAAAACTCCACCAAAATCATCCACCTGAGCTACAAATCTTCTCCACCATCTCAAAATCATATGCGTGCTACTTATATTGACATAAGTGATATATAACACGAGTCAGGAATGTAATGTCTGGCAGCAGAAGATTGGGAAGATCAAGAAAGGAATAACGGGAATAGAAAGCAATTAGTATGGAAATGCAAGAACTGTGAAGTCCGAGACAATTATTGAACATTTTGCAAATTAGGTGTTATAGTACGATTTTTCTATTTTACCAAGTAACTCAGTAATGTTGTGCTAAATTTAATTCGGTTGTCCTCAACTGTGTTCTCCTTCACTGCAATGGTACTTTTTGTCTAGTTGAAGTCAATGTGTAATACAGTTTATCCAGACATTTTGAATGATTTAGATTTAATCATCTTGTATTGTTGCTAGACTTGTGTTCATTTGAATAGAAATGAACTAATTAAAATTTCCCTTATTAGATTTATAACTCTGAAACTGAAATAGTACTTTTTCAGGTAATCATGTCATTCACCGGAATAGTTAGTTTGCTAATTATCTGAAAAGACCCACTGATTTTCACAAGTACTGAATGAGTAAGTGATAACTAGCTTCATAGGTTCAGCCTAATATATATGCTGAGGAGTCCCACAAAAGAACAAAACGGCCGTCCAGTGCTTCCAAGTTTTCTATGATGGTCTAGCTTCAATCGACTCATGAATTCAACCATTAAAATATTAGTGTCTATTGTTTTTAAAAAAAAACACATCTACGAAAATAATAATTCGAAAACAAACTTTCAGTATTGTTTTTGGTCTAATTCAGTCCTAAACATAAAAGAAATTATTATCAGAATGGGTTTTTTTGTGATTTTTGGAAATTTCACTGGTTGAAATCATGAGTCAGTTGAAGCTAGACCACCATGGAAAAACCTGAGGCACTGGACGGCCGTTTCGTCCTAGTACGAGACTTCTCAGCAGCGCGCATCCACGATCCCGCACCCCACGGGATTCGAACCCAGGACCTACTGGTTTCGCAAGCGACCACTGAGCCGGCATCCAACGGTGTCAATGTCTAACTTCAACCAATCCACGAAGTTGCGCCACCGTACACCATTGTCTTCAGTGAGTTCCCATCTCACAACAAACCTGGTTAAACTCCACTGGTAACGACTTCTCACTAGAACTCCAGGAGTTGAAGTTAGACATTAACACCGTTGGATGCCGGCTCAGTGGTCGGTTGCGAAACCAGTAGGTCCTGGGTTCGAATCCCGTGGGGTGCGGGATCGTGGATGCGCGCTGCTGAGGGGTCCCGTACTAGGACGAGACGGCCGTCCAGTGCTTCCCGGTTTTCCATGGTGATCTAGCTTCAATTGACTCATGATTTCAACCAGTGAAATTTATAAAAGAAATTGTATCGATAGTATTTCGTAACATGAAGTTTAGTTAAATGAAATAGTCATTTTAAAATTTTCTTGAAATCTTTAAATATAATTTACCTATACAAACAAAAAAAATTCTGTTCAAAACTAAAGCTAAGACTGTGAGTTATGAGCTGTAATTGCTACTTTGATTGAATGTTTTCAATAACGGATATTCTAAAGTATTCGATTGTATGTAGTAAGGCTGTTATCAGCATGCTAACGAGTGCCAAACAGGATGAAACACATGTCTTGAATTCTACTAACAGCTACAATCTATCAATTTTGAAAATCGTATGATAAAATATTAATATGAAAGCTATTCTATAATGGTGTAAATTAGGCAATAAAAACTGATGAAGGTGTAGCGTGGCGTCGAGTCGAGATTAACTATGAACACCGCTACCAAGAAACACGTTCCAAGTAAATCAGAAGGCGTAAGTTGAACGTAACCAAATAAATCCATAAAATCCCGAGAAGCCAAATATCAGAAGACAGTTAATGGACCAAATCGATATATATTCGCTGGCGATCTCGTGGCATCGAAAGGATACCGAGATCGTGCCAGGATACAAGCTTGGTTACAGAACGTAACCGAATTCGCGCGAAGTCACAATCAAAGTGTAAGAATAAGAATGGAAGCACAATATAGCTGTCATTAGCACAGTCAAACAAAAGCACATTAAAACAAACACTGGTACAGTTGGTTATAATAATAATTGTTTTTATTAAACCAGTCGTGTTCTCGTGATAAATGTGAGTCACTACAAAGGTCTAGTCATGAATGTCATCTACGGGATAATTCAAATCCCTATTAACGATTATATAAACGTTGTACCAACTTAACACGTTGGTGGGTATATAGATTCAGTAGCTCAGTAGAAATTTTGTCGCAATTCAAAAGTTACTTGGTCTGAGTTCCAATTTGGATATCAATACCATGGCAAATCAGTTGATGAGCTCAGAATAGGATGAAAAGTATATTCTGGATTTCAACCCTCAACCGTAATCTATCTATTCTGTACAAATTCTTTTAACTGACTTCAATGGTTCACCATGTAATGTTTAAGTAATATGTATGTATGAAAGAATTTTTATCAGTTAATATTCAGTACTTATAATGCTAGATACTTCTTGAGTTTTTAAAACGTCGTTTGATGCTTTGAAGAAAATGCTTGATGGTAATTATAAGTAAATTCTACAATGTACTATTTATTCTGTAGGATTATATCAGCTTGATATCCTTTAATTCTGGTGGATAATGATGTTATAAATATAATTCTGAGCTATAAACTCACTGTTTCAGATGACCGTTTTGTTCACGAAGGTTTAATAACCATTTTTTATGATAGATAATACATATGGCTTCCTCATTATTATTCTTAAATGATCCTTCATCTACATATCGAAAAATTCGCTTAACCAATCATTTGTAAACTACCTATAATCTTAGCAACTATTCAGATTAAAAAGAGTTTGTACTCAAATGAATGAACTCGAATACCAAAACATTTCCCCCTAAAAAGACTGAAGAATCAAATAAAAACACTGCATATCTTTTCGAATTTTATTGTAACTTTAGCTGAAGGTTACAAAGTTAACATATTTGTATTTTCATTGTATTAAGTCCGTTAAAAGAATTTTAAGGTCGACTTCGGATTATTTTCTGGTTAGTTATGTAACGAAGATACCATTCCTTATTTTGTCTATCTGATATCAGAGAATCGGTATTTTGTATATTATAATGTGATGTGTGTTACTGATGTCGACAGACATTTAGGTAATATGTATCATCAATCGAAAC